GTCCTACCCTTATATACAACACTTATGGTAACAGAAACAATTTTTGTTGCATGCTGCTGTTTCCAGGCCCTTGGTGTTATAGAACAACATGCACCTGTGCGATTCTCACTTGACACTGTAGAAAGATACACTCAGGTAAACACAAAAGCTATATGCAAGTTGGATAAGTGCCATGTCTCGTGCATGCCTTTAGCTTTGCTCACTGCAGATGTACAACATCTTCCTTATACATCCCTTTTTCTAGGTATGACAGTGTCTCCTTAAACGCTGCTTAGATCGGATTCATCTTTACCTGGGGCACAGATTTAGTTTGTACCCTTTTTCTCACAGGGTTCTGCAGCTTCCTAGAACAGGCAGCTGCAGAAATTCAAGTTCTAAGCTGGAAGTATTAGTAAAGTCAGGGCCTAAGCCATCCCGCAACCTGAACTCCAATCCCATATTTCCATGTTCCCCATTCTGGTGCCCTCCAGATGTGTTGGACTACAACTCCTAGAATTTCCCAGCCAGTATGTTACATTGTTCTGGCTGCATTCCTTTAGACCTCCACTGAATCACAACCCTTTAAAATAAGGCAGTCTCTTTCACTTACTCAGGAATAAAATAAGAATAGTAAAACCACTCTTTTATATCAGACTCCTGTTTCCAAAACAGCATCCTGCCACTTTGTCAGAAGGTGACTTCTCATCCACCTGCTCTCACGGAGCTGCTTGTTGTTGATCCCAACTAATCATAAGCTGGCCTGCCTCCCAATGTGGGCACCTCCACTCAAAGAGGATGTCAAAAATGTACACTGAGGAATGATTGTCTCTTGGAGGCTGCGGCATCCAGTGCCAGCTAGCCTCCCAGCCATCACATTAACTGTGTTCTTTTCCCTAATTAGAGCATAGCCAGAAGGATGAAAGAGCCCTTTTATCTGAGTAATGAACAGGGCAGATCGACACCACATCCTTCTTTCTTCCTGGCAACTGGGCCTTCACCCACTGCCTGGGCTGGAGGAGAGACACACATGGTATTTATGCTGAAGGACACATAGACACACAACATTATTGCCCACCCGCAGGTTGAAAATTTAAATGTGGGCAGTGGATACTGAACTTTCAAAGGGAGAACATTGAGGCCTGTGTTCAAAGGCACATAGCAGAATTTGATCCACTTGCATAATCACATAAGGGCCATTGCATAAGTATTCCCCTCCTCTGGGCAGGCTCTCCTTCTCCCGCTCACCCAGTCTCATACTGGTTGCAAAATGGGCAACACAACCCATTATGAGAAGAGCAGTCTGGAAGAGGCAAAAAAAAAACCCACTTCTGTTTTTTTCTTCCATATGCAGCTTTTCTATGACTGGATTTTGCCACAATATCTAAAATATAGACAGTGAGAGAAGTCAGCTTCTTAGAAGGGTCTGGAGAAGTCCAGAGTTGCGCCCTTGCCATTTGTGATCAGGTGGCACAACCAGCAATGCCTATACAGCTACCTAATTCTGGAAAAGAACGAAAGAAGCCTTTCATTCTACAGAAAACCTGCAGGAGTTATTTAGAAATGCTAAAAGTAGTTGTCCTGCAAGGAGTCCAAATGACCTCAGCCCAGTGTTCTCTACATAAAAGGTGGCCATTTATACATTGCCAGAGAGAGAGAGAGAGAGAGGGAGAGAACACTGATCACCATCAAAGCAGCATATGATAATATATGTATTTATATTTTCAGATTTAGAAATAATCACTCTTGTTCTAGTGGAAAGACTGTATTTATGATGTAGTTGAGAGGTGTGGGCCACAGCCAAGAGAGAGAGAGAGAGAGAGAACACTGATCAGCATCAAAGCTGCATATGATAATATATGTATTTATATTTTCAGATTTAGAAATAATCACTCTTGTTCTAGTGGAAAGACTGTATTTATGATGTAGATGAGAGGTGTGGGCCATAGCCAAGTTTGTGACCCTGAGAACACAGGAAGCTCCAACTCTACCAAGATGCAAGTACTAATTGATAATACAACTAATAATAGGAGAATCACACCAGGAAACAAAGTCTTCCTTTAAAGCAAAATACTTTGAGTCTTATTTGGCTCAAAAACAGGTTTTTGAAAGAACTAGCAATGGATTTCCAAGCTCAGTCATTTTCCTTTATAGGATGATGTGCCCTGCCAGAGATCTGGATGGGTTGGTCTCTGAACACCATTCTCTGAAAAATTTTGAGGGAGTCTCTGACTGGGCACCCTTATGTGCCTGTTTAGGTGCTACTTGATGATCAACACCAAGCATCCTGCCTGACCTTCTTGTTATTCTTCATCCTCAATCTGGACTTGAACTGGAAAACCCTTCAAACAGAGGGTAGTTCTCTATAAAATGGGGCACGTGGCCACCTTATTTACAACAGTGTTGGCTCTGTGCTCATTTCCCTTTCATCAGTATGAAGAAGCCTTGTGTACTAATACAGTGGCTGAAATCTAGCAGTGTCACTTGCGCCAGGTAAGGCTGATGGTCTCTTCAGCTGCAGCAATGTTTTTGGAAATAAACATTTCCCATTCCTCCTCCAAAAGTCCCAAGGTTCCCATGAAATCTCTTTCGTCAGCAGGAAACTGACAAGGGACAAAGTCTTTAATGACTGAAAATTGCCACTGCTGAATGATTTTACTGGCATCAGCATTGATTTTTGTCCCCAATGAAAGGAATTCCAGTGAAGCCTCAGGACCTTTGGGGTGGTGGGATTGGAAATGTATAATTTTAAAAACACTGCAGCTGGTGATGTCATCAGCCTTATGTGGCATAAAGCTATACAACAGGATTTCAGCTAATACTGTAAGTTCTATTGCTATTAATGGTGCAGGGAAACAGATAACATAAGGTGTCCCGCTAACACTGAGCTTCAGTCGATTTCCATCTCTTACACAGCAAATCCTCTTCCTTTCATCCTCCTTGTTAATTATGTGCTCTGCTTTTAATTAGACAACAGAGTGTATGCCTTTTCTCTCTAATAAACTGTCGCTAAGAATGAAGGCACCTTTTACAGCCTGAGCTCTATCTGTCTTTTTGCTAATAACATTCATCACCAAAAGGGCATGAGCGTTTCTCAGTGCTATACCCTCCAACTGACAGCAAGCACATATTTTTTGCAGTTCATTAAGCACTTGCTGAGCGGCAAGGAAGACTCTCTGCTGGGACCATCTATTCCCAGCTGAAAGTATCAGTGGGACATTTTCTGCAAGAATCTGCTTTTAAGCCTGTTTGTTATGGTAAAATTATTTCTACACCCGATGAGCTTCCCCTGAACTGAAAGGTTATTTGGAAGTAGCTTGTAAGTAGGGGAAGTTGTGAATAAGAAGCAAGATATGAAACAGCCAAAAAGAAAAGAATAGGAACAATTTGCCCAGATGAGAGTTATGACCGATGTTGTGATAGGTTATGTGCAGTTTACTTGATAGCGAATTTTTCATCATCTTGGAACTGCAGAGCTGGAAAGGGACCCTATGGATCATTGAGTCCAGCTCCTGTCAAGGAAGCACATCAGAGGAATCAAACTCACAACCTCTGGCTCTGCAGCCAGATATCTAGATCACTGAGCAGTTCCTTGGAGCTGAATATGGCTTGCAATCATGCTGAACAAGAAGGGGGCATAGTTTGTATGACAGTAGGAAGCTATCCATACTTGATACTAAAAATGAGAAGCATAACATGTAAAAATGTGTGTAGGTTGAATCATAGATATCAAGAAGCTTCAATGTAGGGCCAAGCATTGGTTCCCAGATCATGTATCTTTTACTTAGCTACGTCTGCTGCATTAGTGAAACTAGTTTTCTAAAACACCTTCTGAGAGATGCCTGTCTTTCCTTACTAAGAATCTCTAGACCTTGTGTTGCTGTTGTCCTTCGGAAAGGAGAGTGGCTTCAATATATAACTTCATAGGTTTCAGCAGAGCCCAAATTATTTCTGCAGACTGACTGCATATATCGTCAGACAAGTCTCCGTCTCTCAATCTTGGATCCTCTGTAAAGGGGTTATAACAGCAGTCCTGTTTCACAAAGTTGTTCTGGCAGTGGCTGAAATGAAGACTTCTAGTTATTCGTGCACAGTCGATCTACTTCCATGATCATAAAGAAAGGAAGTCTTAACCCAAGAGAAACAAACCCTCAATCTCAGCCAGTTATGCTCCTGCAAAATGCTTGGTTTTTGTCCCCTTGTAACATTCAGACTTTGGGAGGCAGAGACCCTGTACACGAAGCAGAGGAATCCAGGTAACAAATCCAATTATTGGTTACCTTGTCTTCCTCTCATAGATCTTCTCCTTCTGTAATTAACATTATCAGGGGTTGTGGTATAATAACCATATAAATTCAAGCAGCGTTTTTGACAGGCCTTTTCAGCATATTAGCTTAGTGGATTCATCTAAATTCCTCTTCAAACATCAAAGCTGGGGGGAAAGCTGCATTTTTTTCTTCAGGAGACAATAGTGGGACAAAGGAAATATTGCCTGTGGCAATACAACACCTCTCTGAACCCTTTCCCTTTGAAACAATTGCCACACTCTATCCATATATAAACAACAAAGGGTTAACAACTACAAAGACCAAAAGATAGAAGATTAGCATTCATTTTAGCAAATACTTGACTGACACAGTGTCAGGGTTTCCCATTCTAGGATCACACAGGCATGGTTACCACACACAAACACACAAGCTGATAAAAGGTAGGATGCTCTCTTGACTATCTTTCCATATGAGACCTGCACAAAACTGAAGCTTTGTGTTTCTGAACATGTGAAAGGCAGCCTTCATCAGTAAGTTCAGAAATGCATAGGTTTATAGAAAACAAACACAATTGTCCCCCGTGTATGAGAAAACCAGTCCACCCAGCTTTGAACTCTGTCTTTATAAAGGCTATAATATATCTTTAGTGCCTTCCCTGCTTGTCAGTGACTTGTCAAGCAGAAAGAAATGCGAGGAGCTTCACTGAAGCCTGAACTCAAGCAAAACATACTTGGGGGAAAACTCAGGCGGACTTACCCTCGGCTAACTATTAGCCTCAATGCGTCCAGGTTGCCATGGTAGGCAGCCCATAGGGTTGGGGTCATGCCATCCTCATCGGGGGAGTTCAGTTCCTTCTTGGTGGCTTCTTTTAGCAAATCCAGATAGCCATCCCTGGCCGCCCTGTGGTAGTGGTCATTCATGCTGCAGCCTTAGTCCCTGGCCATTTCATTAGGAAGGAAGAGAGGGGGACAGTAGAGGACTAGAAAAGCAAGAAGAATGAGAGGGACCTAGGAAAGCAGCTGCCCCAAAGAGAGAGGGAGGCAGCTTTGTTACTAGGACACTTGAGAATCCCTGACCAGCGAGGGGAGGAACTCCTCATATTGAATGCATGAGAGGATCTTCTGTGGATTCCCCTGGGTCCTAAGAGTTCTTGTTTTTCCCCTGGCATATTACCTCAGCAAACCCCTTGCAGAGGGATCTGCTAGCTCTATTCTCTCTTCCTTAGCAGTGAAAAGCGATGAGGAACTTGGTTGAGCTGCTATCTCACAGCAAAATATTCTTCTGGGAAATGTAAACCTTTTGCTGACCAGCTCTTGAAAGAGATTCCCACACACCCCCTTTCTGGATAAAATTTTCCATAAGAACTTTTTGAAGATACAGATGTGATCTGACTGTATCAGAGAGTGCTCTCCCAGAAACAACTGGGTGAAGCCTTCCCCCCCCCCCCGCTTGGACTTCAAGCCACTAGTAGATATTAGGACAGGGATGAGTTACATGCAGCCCTCCAGATGTTGCACTGCCACACCCATGATGTGTTGCCATTGGTTGTGTCAGCTAGAACTGATACCAGCTGAAGTCCCACAGCATCTGTAGGGCATTTTACCCACCCCTGAACTAGGGAGTGAGATTGGCACTGTTTCCCAGGCCTGCTTCATACCTCTTTCTAAGACAGCATGTGCTGTCAGCATGGAGAAGGGACATGTAAATCTAAGTACATGAGCTCCCTGCATTCAGTGGATCTTCAGCTGGTGGGGGGATCGAGGCCACAGCACCTTGACATGTTTCAGCTAATTGCACTTTTGGCCGGATCTGTCCTTACACTGGGGAAAGTGTACGCACAGTATCCACTCAGAAACTGTTTGCCGGGGAATGTTTGCTTAAATTAAAATAGGAGCATGAGCGCTGATGTATAAGGCTCGCCCTCTTGGATGCACATCTAAATTGGGGGGGGGGGGGGTTTGAGAGTTACAAAGATGCTAAAGAACATTACTTTGAGAAGAAGGATAGCCCCTATTTAATAGCCTAGGCTTTTAGCAGGTGGGGGGGGGGATGAGAGTTACAAAGATGCTAAAGAGCATTACTTTGTGAAGAAGGATAGCCCCTATTAGTAGCCTAGACTTTTAGCAGATTACCCCAGAGAGAAGAGTAAAAAATGAGACACAAGGTTAAGGGTGCAAGTACTTTGACATAGAATGTGGGAAAATGTTACAGGATTTGGATGGTCTGATTTGCATTGCCGCATGATGTAAAAGCAAGTGCAAATCAGCACGGGCTCTCTCCCAATCCATATTTTTTCCCTTCATGCACTAGGGCTTCTATTTCTTTTCACATCAGTTTGCATCAGTTTGGACAGTGTGATTGCTTGAACCGGTGCAGAAGAATGGGATCATGTGCATACTTCATTCTCTGGTGATCCCCTCTGGGCAGAATAATGCCATTTCTTTTCTTTCTTTTTTTTTTTAAAGCTTTGTGCCAGCACAGTTGTGCTAGGGCACCTAGACAAGGAAGGCAGAAAAGAAGGAAAAATTAAGAAGTGAAAGGAGGAAATTGCGATTCAGCCCATGTTTACAGCTTACTAAGGTAGTTCTCCTGTGGCTGTGCTTCCTGAAAATCAAGAGAGCTCCATTAACAAGCTGCAAACATGACTATTCAGTGAATTTTAGTCAATTTCCTCCCCCCTCTGTGTGTGGCCAGTTAACTCAGATTTACCCATGGAAACATGAATTCCCAAGTGTGATTTCACTGCAAGTCAATTCTTATTTTTCTCTATGCCATAGAAAGCATGCCATCCTTTGCGATCCCGTGCTGCACAGACCTTGAAAATGTACTATTTTGAACTACAACTCCCAGAATTCCCCCAGCCAGTTTCAGTCTCCAAAAATAACGTTGGGAAGCTTTTTCTAGCCCGATTATTTTGTAATTGCCAATATCTGTTTGCTGAACTCACATGTAACAATTCTGATAAAAAGTTCTTTTTTAAAAAAATTAGGGGCAAACGTAAACATACAGTATATAAATCGAATTTCAGACCGTAGCTGACTAGCAGTCCCGTATTTCCAGATCTCATGGGAATGCGTGGCCCTCTGGCGCCATCTGTTGCTCAAATAATGAAGGTCAAATAATGTCTTGGGGTTTTTTTCCCGGGCTGTTAGCGCACGATAAATTCTCCTCTGAAGAGAAAAATGAGCTGCTTCCTTTCAGACTTTGTTCCAAAAGTGACTGATTGTCCTTTTAATTAGGAAGATCCAGTGCCCCTCCCGCTGTTTAATAGTGGCAAACAATGCGGTCTCCCCATCTGTTACTTCTTAGACTACCTTCTTCAGCTGTTCATCAGAAGGGGGCTGGCTCCGAATTGACTTTGTCAGGTGTTAAGAAGAATTGCCTCAGGAAAGCCAGCGTTTATTGATCTGCTTATGGAAATAGCCTGTCGGAAAATAAAGAACTAGGGATCGCTATAGAAGAGGTTCCACCCTGGGGTCGTGTTGGCCAGCTCTGCATAACAATACTGTATGTTAAAGATCTGGGTTTTAGGTGGTGTGGGGGGTGTTGCGGGGAGCAATAGCATATTAGATCAAAGTTGCTTGGTTATTTCCACCTCGCCCAGCCCTCATGCAGTTTCCTTAAGACACAGAAATGTAATGGAAAAATTGGGCATCTTGTTGGCTTTCTCAGTATCTCAGTTACTCAAAACCCGGCAATGCTGATGAAAAGGCTCTGGGAATTAACAGAGGAACATAGATTGCCGGGCCACTGGTGTTTCAAATGCTTCCCACCAAAATTATAAGTATTCTTCGTAAAGAAATGAAAATCGTTTTTCCACATTTAAAAGCCTACTCTGCAAGTTGTGGCTTTTACCATGGCTGGCCTTGCAATTAGCATTAGCAGGTGATAATTATCTTAATTCCATAAAAAAGCTTCAGTTGCTGGTGTTTGCATGTCAAGTTGCTGTTAAAAGGACAGGAACAAGCCCCCCCTTTTTTTTCTTTCTTGTTTGGCTGCCAACTTTTCGTCATCATGTGCTTGTGTGCTGGACTTGAATGAACTTTCATGGTTGGGTGAGGATTTGAATGTGGATCTCCTCCATCCTAGCCTTTCTGTGAAGGAAGTTTTTGCATTCGTTAACAGTATTTAAGGTAAATAGTTATAGCAGTTTGATACCGTTTCACCTGCTATGGCTGCAGTTGTGTTGTGATGCATTTGGTACTATGGGTAGCTGCTCATCATGGTAGTTCCATAGCCAGCAAACGCCCCCACCCGAAAGAAAGGAGGGTCCAAAAATGTTTGCCGCCAGATTATGTCCTATGAAGAAATGGAGAGCAGGTCTTTTACTGAGTTGTTAATTCTTAATCACCCGTTCAGAAACAAACCACATTTAAATATTTTGGAAGAGATAGATTGCAACAATATGCTAATACTAAACAAGAGAGAAGCTGGGATGGAGTTAAGCGATCCTGGCACTTCAGCCATGCGAGCTTGGGCTCTGCTATATTTTATGGAATCCTAGATTTTGTAGTTTGGTAAGAGACTTAAAATGGTCTGCTTCTTCAGGTGGGTGTTTTAGAGCGCTCTACCAGAGAATTCTATGTACTGTGTCATATTACAAATCTCTAAACTTTATAGGATGGAGTCATGATGACATCAGATTGCGAGGGCTGTATAGGTTACATGAATTCACAGGTGTGTCTATTTTTGTAGCCATTTCTGCCAAGCCTGATCGCTTAGTGTCTGCAGTGGCCCAGTCGCCATTGCAGCTGGGAGGACGGGCAGGCAGATGAAGGTCTAGGGCAAAAAGACAAGATCATGCTCTCTCTCCCCACCCCTTTCCATGTACAGAAGCACAGTTGAATGATCCAGCACTGGTGAAGGCACACAGTATTTCACCACACCTCCGTGCAGCAGCTCTAGTAAGGCCAGCCCTGTAAGGGGATGCCCATTTCACACTGTTTTTATAGAAAAAGTCTCTGTGCACTTCTACATTGTGGTTCTATTCTGTCAAGTCACCTCTTGGTGGCATCTAATAACAATATAGAAGTGCACAGAATGGCAACATTATGAGTGAGTGCCTTCCAAAATTTCCTGTCCTCAACAGCCCTGCTCAGCTCTTGTAAATTCAAGCCTGTGGCTTCCCGTAGGGAGCCAGGTCATCTGGTATTTGATCTTTATCGTTTCCTGTTGCCTTCAACTGCTGTTCCCTGGCATTATTGTGTTTTCCAGAGAATCTCGCCTTTTCATGATGTGCCCAGATTAGGACAGCCTCATTTTTGTCCTTTTTGCCTCTACAGATAACTTAGGCTTTATTTGCTCTAGGACCACCACCCCCCTTGTTCATCTTATTGGAAGTCTGAGGTGCATGCATGTGTATAATATACAAATACTCGCAGGTTTGGATAGGTGTCTAAAGTTGTACCCATTCAGATCCATCTCTTAAAGGCTAAGCCATGGCAGCGAGGAGAATTTGCTGACCGATTCAGGGCCAAAGGGGAGATTCCTAGCCCAAGGCCAATTACTGCTTCTGGGTTCCTTTTAATAATTAAAAGGAAATGTTTTGGAACTTCTCTTTAAATCTGCATATGATTTATGATCAGTTCCCTATCTTTTCTCCATTCTCATCATGCAGTAGCTTTGATCCCATCTCTGACTTTCACCCTTTCTTCCCCTAAATACAGGTCAGGTCACAAAATGGATCATATGATCCTTACTGAGATATTTATGAAGCCACCTTGTCAGTCTTTGTGTAAATCACAAACGCATCCAGAAAAATATAAATTCCTGGGCAATTGTAAGCTGGAGAAAGAGGCGTCTCGTGCAAAGGCAGCAGTGAGACATCAACCCACAGGCAGAAAACAGGTGGGTAGAAATGCTTTTGGCTACGATTACGTTCTTCACATCTCTCTGTGTCCTGTGGTCAAGATCCTAAATTGCCAAAGTTAGCAAAAAGGTCCAACTGTAACCCTGCAGTGCCACATTTGTTTGAAGAAAATGCCATGATATACAATGATATTCAGTGGGGCTTATCTCCAGATAAGTGTGCATGGAATTGTATGGCTGTAATTGTATACATGTTTACCAGGAAGTATGTCTCATGGGGTTCAGTAGGGCTTACCTTTGAACAGGCATGTATAGGGTTGCACTTTAAGATATTGAGAGGATGAAGTGAATGAGTTAAGAAGCTTGTGTAGTGCATCTTGGTACTGGAAAGGATTGTTTTATCTCCAAAGGGGTTGTTTTTCTAGGAAGCATGCTAAGCACTTGTTGAATTGTGGTATGTGGCTATGTTTGATTTGGCAGCTCATAAACAACCCATACCTTGACTACGCCAGTTCTATGAAACCGTCTCATTTAATATTTGAGTAATAATGATGGGATTTAGATCAGAAATCTGGGATGGTGTAGGAGGGAGATACAGCTTTAAGAATGTAGGCAAATAGCAGATATTTTGCAAACACATTACTGCAAGGAATTAAAAAGAAAGAAGGGGAAAGGGTGGATGGAATTCATACATTAAATAACATTTCTGTTACTAAAATGTTAGCATAAAAGTGGGTCTGAAAAGCCAGCTAACTGTGTTTTTCCCTTGAAGCAGTGGTTCCCAGTCTTGGGTCCTCAGATGTACCTGGACTAAAACTCCCAGAAGCCTTCGCTATTCGCTGTGCTGTCCAGGATTTCTGGGAGCTGCAGTCCAAAAACATCTGGGGACCTAAGGTTGGGAAACATTGCCTTACAGGTTTGGTCATCATGGTCAGCTGTTGTCAGCAATAAAATTAGGTTAGAGAGAAGAGACTAAATAGTATTTCTAGTTTGTTTCATTGAAAGAGTTGGTTGGAAAACATTGATCAAGTCCAATTTACAATCAAACCATAAATAACTTCCACTGTTTAGGTGCCTCTGAACCACTAGCATTAAGTAATGTATATTTGCTCTCTCCCCTCTTTCTCTCCCCGTTTTTACACCACAGTAAATTTGTCACAGCCTTCTGAATCATGACCGAATTGTCTATCTGGAAAGACAGTGAGATCAGACGTGAAGATTCTATTATGGGCTCTGATCACAAGGAGGACAAGAGTAGCTTTGGGCCCGATCCGCTATCTCCCACCGGACACCACCACAAGTTCCCCTCATCCTCGTCCCACAGCCCCAAAGAAGTCTGGAAGAAAGGAGGGCGAGTTTTCTCTGTGCTCTTAGCAGTCAACTTGGTGCTGCTGGCCTGCACTCTGGTCAGTGGTGGGGCATTCCAAGATATAAACCTGCATGACTATGATGTCTTTTTCATGCTCACCATTGTGATGCTGATCACCATTGCCTGGATGCTCTTCTACATTTTCAATACCTCAAGACGGCAGAATGCCATCCCTTGCAAGGACAACCATGCAGGACCTATCTGGCTCAGAGGTAAGGGGTCAGGAATGACTTGGTGGAAACAAAAAAAAAAAAGCAGAATATAGCCAAGTGGAGACTATTCATATAAGACAAATATATGAAAAGGATGTCCCATGCATAGCTTTTGAGGTGGCAAGACCTACCTGTGTTTGTTTGTTTTTAAACATCTCAATTGTTTTCCAAATTTCACAAGAGGAAAAAGTTGGCGGTTGTAAGTTACGCAACTCTTACAAGCACCGGGGAGAGAAAACACAAAAAGTGATACCCACTTTGAAACAGTCATAGTTAGGATCAGTATTCAGTGAAGCTGGAGCAGCTGGTCAAGAAAGCATCAAATTAAGTCTTGGGTCCAGTGCAATGCTGATCTCCTTGTGCCTTGCAATATTGCATGAAGGGCCGATGAAGGATCAGAACAGTCAGGAAATATCATGCTGTTGCTAGGGAAGGACCAGGTGTCTTTTCTTTGCACAGAGAAAAAGGTGTGGTACACGTCTTTTGTGCAAGAGTTGAACAAATACCTGTCTGTGTGCCCCCAGTATGCTTATACAAAGAGGGACTGGGAAGAGCTGTGGTTTTAAGGATGTTCCATTTACAGATATGCATTCTCACCCTGGAAGATTTGGTTTTCAGATTTGCTTCAGACAAAGATATATAATATGTCTTACTTCATCTTATATGAGTCTTGATGCAGCAGTAAAATCTGAAAAGGTTCTAGTTTTAGCAAAACTGTGCATTGTGTATAAGACACCAGCACTGTCTTTTGCTCCTGACCAGTATAAAACATCAGTCAATTTGTACCTGTGCTAAATGAGAGATTATAGAAAGCTAGCCAGCTGGAGTACTTGTTTGTAATGAGGTATAATGTCATTTGTTTTCCACAAACAGGAGGCTTGGTCTTGTTCGCAGTCCTCACACTGGTGATGGATGTATTTAAGACGGGCTATTATTCCAGCTTCAGCCACTGCCTGTCAGTCATCAAAATCATGTATCCAATTGTACAGGCTGTGTTTGTGGTCATCCAGGTGAGTCTTGATGGTTTCATTGTTCTGGAGAACAGTAGCCTGTGGGTGACTGGGAGCAATATGTTTGAAGTCTAATAACCTGTAGGTGGCAGCGGTGGTGGTTAGAAGGTGCATTTTAACCTGGAAAAATAGAAAACAGTGTAATGAGCACAAGCAAATCTACCACTGTTTAGATCCAGGCCAGGAAACTCAAGAGCTTCAGCATAATGGTGTGCAGATTGACAGTCAGAAGCAATTGGTTCAGTCACAGCCAACATGGTGCTTCCTAGTGTTTTCCTGTAGCCTCTGCTACACCTTGCTTTCCAAAAGTGCACTCTTGGCCGAAAACCATTCCACCCACGTGCTTTCTGCTTTCAAGCTGACTTCCACTAAAAATGGTCCAGTTTGATTCAGCACAGGCGGAATCAAGATCATCTTTATGGAACTGCCTGAAACAACAGAAATAGTTAAATAGAATAAGAAGCATAAACAAACTTCACCTCAACCATTTATTTTTATTCTTCGCCTCATTTCTATGTTTCTTTATCATGCAGAATGTCTGGCTTGTGTAGAAAAGTCATCTTACACATACTTGTTCTTTTCCAGACTTACTTTCTCTGGGTGTCTGCCAAAGACTGCGTCCATGTACATCTGGATCTCACCCGGTGAGTATCAAGACCCGCAAGTGGAGTCCTTGTGTGCTCTCTGCTAACTGGTTGAATTGCAGGCTTACATGCGAAACAGCGACTGGGAGTCTCTGGACCTCAGCATAACTATGCATGAGAATAGTTGCAGCAATAATAGGCAAGGAGGGATTTGGAATATGGCACACCAGCCCTGCAGTGTTTTGGGGGGGTTGGGGAAGGTACATATTTGAGAACTTGGGAATTCTACTGTTTTGGACAACAGCATCCAGAATTCCCCTGCTGTGGAGGGTCTGGCGCTTTTCATCCAAACACTTACCTTTTTTGGAGCTGGTATCCAGCTTCTCCTGAAGAACCTGCTCTGCCCATGTTAAGTAGAACTAAAAGACTCAAGAGTCATAGTTGGCTGATCATTCTGAAGAGGATGCTTCTCTCTGCTTTATAGGGAGGCTGTGGGAGTGGGTCAGAAGGGAACCTAGCACTGGGAATAAGGGGTCCTACTTTATCCCAATGAAGAGGGATCCTACTCCAAAAGGAGAGAGTGCCAAGTCCAGGAATGGGTGAGGGACCAGAATTATTCAGCCTGTTTGGGGTGGAACAAAAGTACCTTGAAGAGTATTTGCTCAATTCACATCTTTACCCTGACTTTTCCTGGCCTTTCATATTTGGTTAATCTTTAGCTGCCTTATAGAAATTGTTGAAATCATGGAGAATTAAATCCAATTGTTAGTGCGAGCTAGAGTAGACCTGCTGAACGAGTGGGACTTGTTATGTCAATCCTTATATAAGTCCCATTGATTCAATTAGTTTTCTTTAATTGAAACTGATAATTGGTTTAGTCCTTAGCCTACTTCTTTTGGCTTTTAGCCTAGCATTCGAAAACATACTTACCAGAACTTTCAGCCTTACAGTAGATCTAAAAGGTTGGCTGATTCTATTGGTTTGTTATCCTAGAAACAGTTTTTTAATCCATGAACCGAGTTTGTGCTTATTTATCCTTTCCTTTTCTGCAGATGTGGCTTGATGCTTACCTTGACCACTAACCTGGCAGTGTGGATGTCAGCTGTAACGGATGAGTCAGTGCATAAGGCTCAGTCGAAGAATCCCAATGCAAACAATACACACAGAATGGGTAAGGGGGCTGGGGTAGGCTCATGGTGAGCTTTGAGCAATGTAATTCTGAATCAATGTGGCAAGAATTCCTTAGGAAACCTTCTTATAGTGAGAATTAGCTTGCCCAAAACATGATGAAAACTTGGTGAAAACTTGAGATGGTTTAGCTACTACTTTCTTCAGAATTATTTATTTATTTATTAATTATTCAAAATATTTTTATCCCATCCTTCTCCCTGAAAAGAACCAAGGAACTGAAAAAAGACAGGAACTGAAACCTCTTACTATGACCTTTTGTTAAAGTCAATTGAATAGATATGTATTTTAAGTGATTAATTACAGCCTTCTTAGAACCAGAACAGTCATTTTGATGTTTTTAAAAAACGCATTCACATGCATGTGTGGGCACACCGTTGTTCCTAGAAAGAGATCCAGAATAAATCACAACTTCACATATGCCGTGAGCTTCACTGACTTTTTATACAAGGAGGAAGAGGGAATCACTGAGTTACGAGGCCCCATCATTTTTTGAACATGAGACTTTCCTAACTCAGAAGGAGGGAGGGTGCAAGCAAATTCTTTTAAAGTATAGGATGTCTCCAGGTTATCCCTGCTCGGAGAGTATGGGAGAGTATGAGAAGGAGCTTATGTGAGTCAAAAGGCCACCCCCGGAGTGTGATCAGATGGGCATTTAGCCAGCTTGTTTGGGCATTGCCTCCTAGGTTTCCCTGTTTAGCCTGCTCCAAAACAGGTGTGTAGACAAGGACCCAGTCTCTCCCAGAGGATCTTAACATTTAAGGAAGCCCTAAATCTATGATGGCAAACTTGTGGCCTTCCAGATGCTGCTGGACTAAATCTCCCACCATCACTCACCATTACCTGTTCTGGCTAAGTCTGGTGGGAGTTGTAGTCTAACAACAACAGGACTGTCACATTATCCGTCTGTGTCCTAAGTAATCATGTAGAACAAAGTGGGAGGAGGAAACACCACACACACCATTTTGAGTTAAATAGGCGTGTCGGTATAGTAAACGAGTAAGGGTTTGTTCAACCTTGGAGCACTAAAAGGATCATGGAACTGATTCTGAAGTATCAGTTATTATTTCAACACTATTCAACATCCATTGCATGGATATTGAAGTCCTTAGTCGTCTTCTTACTCAAACCTAATATTATATTAAAACCAAACTATCATTGCATTGGACTGTAACTAACTCAAGTTTTTTTTTTGTTTGTCTTCTTGTCATGCAGCTGGGTTCAGGAGCAGCCCATCAGACAGTTGTCCCTGTGACAATAATCTTTGCCAGATTTTCCAGAATGGCTATTTCTGGTTATATCCCTTCAATATTGAATATAGTCTATTTGCTTCTGCCATGGTGTACGTCATGTGGAAGAATGTTGGCCGCCTTATAGACCACCATGCCAACTATGTCCACCATCTCAAGTTCAAGCTCTTCAGAAGAACTTATTTTTTGGGCATCATTGTGGGCCTCTTGATACTGATGACTGGCATAGGAGTCCTGATTGTGTATGAGGTTCAGATAAATTCAAAAGACAAATCTGAAGCAAAAACGAATCAGGTGCTCAGTATGTATTACATCTTCAACATCATTTGCTTGAGCCTCATGTCCCTTGCCTCCATTGGAGGCTCAATTGTTTACAGATTTGACAAGAGGGATATGGATCGTCATAAGAACCCAACTAGGACTTTGGATGTGGCCTTACTGATGGGTGCAGCCTTGGGACAATATGCCATTTCTTATTATTCTATTGTGGCTACAGTAGCCAGTAAACCACGAGACACTATAAATGCCCTCAACTTGAGCTACTCCTTGCTGATGATCGCCCAACACACTTTCCAGAACATCTTTATCATTGAAGGCCTCCATCGACAGCCTGTTCATAAGGATGACAAAGCCCACAGTCGGGAGAAAGATATCTATGGACTCACCTTTGTCAACCTGAATGCAGTATCTCTCCGTGTCCCTGAGAGTGGAAGCATTCCACCACCCGTTACACCCCCGGATGTATCTATTCAGACCCCTCCTGAAGTAACACAGTGTATAAAGATTACCAAGAAAGTGAACTGGAGGAGAACATTCTTAAAGGACAGCTCATTATTCCTCCTCCTCTGTAATGTAATTGTAAGTATGTTATTTTATTTGCTTCTGCCTTAACTGGGTCATTTGTCTAAAGACATGTTAACAACACATTTATAACTTTTATTTTTCTAATATGTAATAGCCCAGCATCCCAAGGACTCATATATTGGAAACAAGTCTAGAGACGGAGTGCTGACAGCCATTCCATGCCTCTTGTTGCCTTTAATAAAATGAGTATAAGAGACATGAGGTTGCTATTGGTCTTCCATCTCTGTCTTTCCTCTATCTGGTAACAAAAGGTAGAGTATTCCATTGGCTTCACAACTGGTGACTGTTGTCAGCAGTTGGGAGAGAGGGGAAAATGCATGGCATAACGTTGTCAGGCCCCCTGTTTTCTTCTGCTAGTCCAACTTTCTCCAAGAGAGGGAAGTCTAGATGTGTTGAACTACAACTCCTATAATTCCATGGACAGCTATTTTCTGCTGGCTGTGGGATTACAAGAGTTGTACGTCAACCCATCAAGAGAGTCCCAGATTAATTAAAGCTGTGTCATATGTTAGCAAATCATGGGCAGAAAAAGGCATAGAATATCAGCAGCTCTATCTCCTGTAACATCAAAATGGTGCATGACTGGAAATATATTAATTTTGCCTGTCGAAGTAAACAGCGCTGTACCACTGTAGAATGAGCCTTACTGCATTCTGATTAAGTATACAATCTTCCACTCAGATGTCAATAACCTGCCTTCCCCCTATCCCACCCCACTCCTTACGCAATTTTTCAACATTTTAACCATTGTACAAATGCAGCGCCATGTATATGTGGCTTATTTTTAAAAACAGGCAAGTCCCCTGAAAGACTGGTGGAGAGAGATGTCAGAATGATGGGATTTGTGTGAAACTTACTGTCCAGTATGTCTGGATACTGCATTCCAAAGAAAGGGCGGGGATTGTGTTGGAGTTGTGGTCTTTGGAACAAGACAACTTGGCAAGTCCTGTTTTGTTTCCATGTTTGACTCTACCTTAGCATCATCATATAGTCATCTAGATTTCTGGACATATTTGCCACATGCATGTAGCTACTAGGTCGTCATCACACTGTCAGAACTTGAGAAGTGGTGTTTGGATTACAGTTCCAGGACACCACCTTCAGCATTCAAGGAGCTTCAAGTTATATATTTTTCCCCCTTGACCTCTGTTTGCAAAACCTTGGGAATTTATTATCCACTTTTTCAGGCTTCCACTACTCTTTGCACCAGCTGCTCATCATTTCCTCTTCCTCTTGCTGACATTACTGTTCTCTTTGTCTCTTTCCTAAACAGCTCTGGATCATGCCAGCATTTGGAGCCCGGCCGCAGTTTGATAACACGACAGAGCTTCGCTTCTACGGCTATCCCATGTGGGCAGCCATTGTGGACATCTGCCTGCCCTTTGGCATCTTCTACAGGATGCATGCGGTGGCTAGCCTGCTGGAGGTCTACATCATGTCTTAATGGAAAATGAAGAACTTGTTAGAGAAACCCACATTTCTCAATCCTCCCGGAACTGAACACTCCAAGAGCTGCCCTGAAGAGGCTGATGGTTGTGTTTTACTTGAGTGTGGGCACTGCTCAGTAGCTCTGGCAATATGCTGTTTTTGTGCCTCCCCTAGATGCACGTTTCATTTTCTTCATTCTCCTACAGGCTGATCACTGTCAATTATATTTTCCCTCTACCAGGAACTGCTGCCATGAACTCTGTAAAAGTGCAGATAAATTCCTGGCTTATTCAAGGACTATTTGATGTCAGGAGAAAAAAAATAAGGGAACACTATTTGGGGGGGGGGGAAAGAATGAAAGAAATGTTGGTGTTCTTGTACCTTGCTGTAGTTTAATGCACTGTTTCCTGTTTTGCCCCTCTGGCCCTTTTCCCACAGATTAATGAAGGCCTCAGGAGCTTGACCCTGTTAAAGCTCACACTTCATAAGTATCATCCTGAAATCTCCCAGGTTTCAGCGGAACTTGTTTGTTGTCCTGAATCAGGGCCTGTAGACTGTTAGAACCTGTGCTTATGCTATCAAGAGGGTATTAAGATATGCTAGTTTTAAAGAGTAGTTGATTTTTTAATGATCTTGTTTTTTATAAATACTGTATGTATACATATATTTATTTTCATTGTGACAAAAGAAGATTAAGAGGGATTTATAATGCAGACACCACAGAACTCCACGCATGCTGGCCATGCTTCAACTGCTGGCCTGCCTGAGGAGGTCAGGGCCCCCTGGCCACTTGTGAGGGCAGAACGTCTCATTCGCCCCTTGACTCTTCCAGCTCAGTTGAAGGGGCTCTGTGGTGATGTGGTGAGGTATCTGTAAAAACCTTTGAGGTCCTATGTACAACAGGAGTTGGTTAGCACTTCTTCCCAAAGCCTTCTCTCCCACAACCTCACTTCTAATCCAGTGTATATCCTGGGGTGACACTCTAACCTATAAAGTGCAATTCCTGAAAATATTCTTCTGCGGTGGGATTGTCATGCCACGGATTGTTCATAAACACTGTCACTGTCTATTAAGCGATTAGGGCTCATTCCTTTACAACACTCTTACTCTACAACATTGGACTACAAATCGTGTCAGCCTGCAACAGAAGAGCCAGTGCTGTGGTGATGATGATGGTGGAAGTTGTACTCAGATATACAGTATTTGGAAGACATCCAGTTGGGGAAGGCTGTTTTAGGATGCCATTTTGTTGGCCATTGTTCAGACAGGCCACCCCAAGCTTTGGTTGGGGGTGATCCAGAGAGAACCTTGGGCAACTCTGATTCAAATTCAGCCACCTTAAAACTCTCACGTGATTTAATAACATTCTGTGGGTGAGTTTTGGAAGCATCGCTTGCAAAATTAGTAAAGGTAGGCAGAATCGCTTACCTCCATCTCCACCCATAACTTATGCACAACATAATTCCACAGATCCAAATCTTGTAACAGAATATCCACAATATTTGTGTTAGGAGTTTTGAAGATTTCTGGTGATGAGCCTAACAGAATCTGGAAGGTTTGGGCCAGTTTAGCGCCTTTATGAGTCCACTAGGCTTCTGCAAAGAATCGCAAGGTGACCACAATTTGTCATGTTGGCACACTACATACACCATGAGGACTACTGTCTTGGGTGAAGCCTTCCAAACCCATGCTGCCAGATTTCTGTATGTTCCCAGTATATTCCACCAGGGTGCTACTCTGTCTAAAAAAACAATCAAATTCTTTCCGGAGTAAAATTCAGCATCACTAGCAGAGTGAAGATTAAATATATGTAATACATTGGAAGAGTTTTCCTGGACTTGCTCTTAATTCTTCCTTATGCAGTGCCTGCTGTTCACAGGAAAGATTGGCCAAAACTCTATAGTAGGAATTTTGGGAAGTGAGACTTGGAAAATCATGTCACCCCCCCTCCCCCAACCACCTTCACTGGCAGGATTTTTCTTTCTTATGAAATTGTACTTGACAATGGAAAGAAATGGTCTTTTGCTGCTTGGAAAGTGACATGGGAGGTGGGGAGAAGGATGGTAAATTACAAAACTTTTTTTCCACAAAAATCTGAAAATTGTAAATGAAAAAATAAAAGAAAACCATGTCATTTGATCTAGCGTGTTTTGTTCTCTTCTTACCCTTTTTTATTAGCCTGATGATTCTATAAGATGCATTCACTGGCAGAAGTCTAAGCTGCTAGAGAAAAGTGGCTAGGGAGGAAAAGGAATGGGTCACTCACAGTAGTATTTGATAATCCAGTCAGTTTACTAGATCCACTGTGGTAGAGGGGTTTGAGAGTGTAGTACTTTCATGTGGAATCCTCAGAGTGAAGAAAAGAGAGACTGAGAGTAGAATCTCAACAGATTATTATTTATCGGTTGTTTGGCAAAGACACTCAGGGCAAATCCAGCACACTTTGCTGCCTGAGGCAGGGCGACAATTGACACCTCTTCATGCCAAGGTACTTGGCCACCCAAGGCTGGCCACATTATCTTGGCACCTGACTCAAAGAAAAGGAAATCCCATAGGTACCTCTTTCTGTCCCTGCTATTTAAAGATTCACAACAACAAATGAAATAATTAAGAATTTACTGCCTTTTCATGAAACCCGAAATTTAACTATTCACTTTCCTGAAGGCAAAGCTGGTCCCACAAGCATATCTGTGTCTCGCTCGTTCCTCTTTGAAATCTCTAGCTCGTAGGTGGTACAGAACAAGGGTTCAGTTTCCAACCATGACCTGTCAAGTCAGTGATTGCCCATACGTAGCCCAAGTCGGCCTTACAGGATATCTGTGGGTGGATGTTTCAACTCGGCAATCCAGCACAAGGGTGGTGCTTGAAATCGGGTATCTGAGGTACTGATGACCCTGTGTTCTGGCCTGTCTCCCCACTCCACACACACCTCCAATAATCGAGCTTTCAAATTACCAATTCACAATCCTGATACTGGACAAAAATCCCCTTGTACGAGGTTGAATGTAGCAGTCTTAGATGGTCTTACAGCAAGCTGGGGGGGGCGGGCAGCAGTACAGCTAGAGCTGACCAAAGGAAATAAGGCTGGGAAGAGTTATGAATTCAGATCAGTTTAGACAGAACTGAACAGGATTTAAGACAAATAACAAGGTTGAGAAATGAAGCAGAGAAGGGAGCATAAGAGAAGGAGAAACAAAACAGGCCAGTTCAGGCGTACAAACACAGAAGGAGACTCCAGCTATGAGCACCATTGGCCACCCTGCAACCATCATCTTCAGGCTAGAGCCAAAAGGAGCAGAGAAAATCGAATGAGCTTCCATTCTGAGATTTGGCAGGGCTAAGGGGCCATGATACCGGGAGACTATGGAGCCTGCCTGAAACTATCACTCCCAAACACTGCATTCTACCAGATCTGAAAGTGCCTCCAGAGAGTCCAACCCCCACCCAAAATGTCACAAAACTAGACACTTAGAACACACAGCAGCTTTGCAAGATAGCCGCTGCCACGCCCACACAAGCACTAACACTTTACAGTAGCTAGTCAAAGTAAGACCTGGTTTAAGTACCACAAAACCTATGAGCCAGAAATCCTTGCAATTGCTCGAAGAACTGTTTATGTTTTATTAAAAGAAGTGAAAAGGACAAAAGGCAAAAGTTACAGAACCTTTGTGTTTAGAAATAGTACTTGGAGTAAAATACACAGAGCGTCTACGGCAGTTCCAGAGTTCACAACAGAAAATAACGAAAGTTAAACCTATTTACCTGATACTCACACCTTAAAGGGAAGTCAGTGTGTAATTCTTAGGCTTGCATAGAGTGTATCCTTCCTAGCATCATGGATCGCAGATGGACTGAGCCAAGAGCAAAGCTCCCTCTTGTTAGAGGCCAGCTAGACTACTCCAACTAACCAGTTTTTCAAATCCTATTTTTACATTAAAAGGCCTGTTCCAGACCAGTATTAATCAACATCCGAATCCCCTTTTAAGTTTACCAAAACAAAGGCACTTTCTTCCCCTCCTCCATTCATACAGCTGTAATTTGCATGACTCCCAGGGAAGGAAGCAGATTGGCTGTTGATGCCAAGAGATGAAGTAACAGTGTTAGTCTCTCTGGCACTGCTTTGATGTTCTCCTAGACAGGAAATCAACTGAAGTTTTCACTTTCCCCTTCGTTTTTGACTGATACAGACCCTTGCCTTCTCAGGCAGCTTTCCTAGGCGCTCACAAAGAAGCCTCGAAGTTTCTAAAATGGATTTCAGGTTCCGTGTTCCCTAGTTTCTCCAATTTTTTTTTCCACAGGTAATAACTCATAAGGTAATTTACAAGTTGGGAAAGTAAATTTCAGTGTTGTAGAGCTAAGGGACAGGAACATTTTACCCAACAGTTAAACAATGAGGTTTAGAATACAAAGTAAGAAATGGGTTTAAGGCCAGGGAAGGAACATTGCCAGTGCACAGTTCCAGAAGGGTGCGCAGAAAGTAAGAAAAAGGCTATTCCTTCCCTTATGAGGGTGAGTGGGTGGGTTTCCCAAGAAACCCACCCACTCACCCTCATAAGTGGAGCTGGTGCAGTGGTGCTGGCCGGCCCCACTAAACTCTTGTGATTGAGCCAAGGGCTGCACAGAAGCCTCCACAGAAGCCAAGACCTTTCACCAGTCTAATTACACATTCCTCTAATCTTGCAAACAGCCAAAGATAAGAAATCTCATTTAAACCTTAGCTGCAGTATGCTCCTTATGAATCATAGCAGTTTGAATGCATTAGAACGGAATTCACTTATTTGAGTTTGTACGTTATTACAACATAGGAATCCACTCATCAGAGCCAGGTGCAAAATACTGGAGTGGAGGATTACAGAAGTCATAAGCAGTGCTTGTGAAAAACCCCAAAGATTGACAAGGCAACGGAATAAATGTTGAGCTTTTCACAAGAGTTAAATGTAGTCCAGTCCCAACTATACTGGAGAAAAGAAAACATAACATGTCAAGCATTTCAGCTCTCAAATGGACTTTCCCAAAAGTACCTGCCTGATATTTTCCTATGGCTTTTGTTGCTGCTGCTGTTGTTTGTAGCAAGCTTGCTTTTCATAACATTTCAGTCTATTGTTCTGCAAACAAGCCCCTCACAGGAAAAAAAAAAACAGCTCTAAATGTGGTTGAGAGGAGAAGACATCACTGGAGCATTTATCTGTGGTCAGGAAGGGTGTGAGAAGGTACATGCTGAAGGGTCTGAGGTAGAGGCCGGTCTGTAGAGGTTTCCTGGACAAATATTGGTGCTTTACTTAAGATTCCCCCCTCCCATTTTGTGTTATATTCTATTGCTGTTTAGTCGTTAAGTCGTGTCCGACTCTTCGTGACCCCATGGACCAGAGCATGCCAGGCCCTCCTATCCTCCACTGCCTCCCCAAGTTGAGTCAAATTCATGTTGGTCGCTTCGGTGGCACTGTCCATCCATCCTGTCCTCTGTCATCCCCTTCTCCTCCTGCCTTCACTCTTTCTTCACTCAACAGGGTCTTTTCCAAGGAGTCTTCTCTTCTTATGATATGGCCAAAGTACTGGAGCCTCAGCTTCAGGATCTGTCCTTCCAGTGAACAATAAGGGTTGATTTCCTTTGGAATGGATAGGTTTGTTCTCTTTGCAGTCCAGGGGACTCTCAAGAGTCTCCTCTAGCACCACAATTCAAAAGCATCAATTCTTCGGCAGTCAGCCTTCTTTATGGTCCAGCTCTCACTTCCATACATCACTACAGGGAAAACCATAGCTTTGGCTATGTGGGCCTTTGTTGGCAAGTTGATGTCTCTGCTTTTTAAGATGCTGTCCAGGTTTGTCATTGCTTTCCTCCCAAGAAGCAGGTCTTTAATTTCGTGGCTGCTGTCTCCATCTGCAGTGATCATGGAGCCCAAAAAAGTAGAATTTGTCACTGCCTCCATATCTTCCCCTTCAATTTCCCAGGAGATGATGAGACCAGTGGCCAATATCTTAGTTTTTTTTATGTTGAGCTTCAGACCATTTTTTTACGCTCTCCTCTTCCCTTTCTCCTCTTTCACCCTCCATAAGAGGTTCCTTAATTCCTCCTCACTTTCTGCCATCAAAGTGGTATCATCTGCATATGGGAGGTTGTTGATATTTCTTCCGGCAATCTTAATTCCAGTTTGGGATTCCTCCAGTCCTGCCTCTTGCATGATGTATTGTGCATATAAGTTAAATAAGCAGGGAGACAATATACAGCCTTGTCATACTCCTTTCCCAATTTTGAACCAATCAGTTGTTCCATATCCATTTCTAACTGTTGCTTCCTGTCCCACATATAGGTTTCTTAGGAGGTAGATAAGGTGATCAGGCACTCCCATTTCTTTAAGGACTTGC